GGGTGTGGTAGCACGCTCCTGTCGTTCCAGCTACTTGGAAGGCTGAGACGGAGGGATTGCCAGAAGCCAGCAAATTGATGCTAGGGTGGTAACAGAAAGTGACATGAGTGATGTCAGCCTTTATAAGATAGATGTAACCTTATGTGAAACAATGTTTGGGGCCAGGAGCAGTGGCTCATGCCTGTAATCCCAGCACTTTAGAAGGCAAGAGGGTTGCTTGAGCCCAGGGGTTTGAGACCAACCTGGGCGACTTGGCGAGACCTCATCTCTACAATAAATAAAAAAATTAGCCAGGCGTGGTGGTGTGTGCCTGTAGTTCCAGCTTGGAAGGCTGGTGGAAGGATCGCCTAAGTCCAGCAGGTTGAGGCTGCAGTGGCTGTGAGCCTGCCACTGCACTCCAGCCTGTGCAACCGAGTGACACTCTGACTCAAAAAAAAAAAATTCTTCTCTCTTTTTCTCTGTCAGTGTCTCCCTCCTTCTCCCCCCCTTCCTCCGTCTCCCTTCCTCTCTCTTCCTTCTTCCTTCCATCTCCCTCTTTCCTTTCTGCCCCAGTAATAAGAAAAAATTAGAAAACTTAACAATTAATTTATTATTATTATTATTTATTTTAGATTCAGGGGTTACGAGTGCATGTGTGCTACATGGGTATATTGCATACCAGTGTGCCCATTCCCCAGACACTGAACGTTATACCCAACAGTCATTGTTCAACCCTCATCTCCTCCTAATTTTCCCCAATTGGACAAGAGTTTTTTGTGGGTTTTTTTTTTTGCTAATGTTATTATTATAGATTATTATAAAAATGAAAAGCATCAATAGAAACCGTAGGAAACAAAGCTCATCAATTCCAAATAGGTTTCAAAAAGTATCAAGGAGTAATGCTAAAAGAAAGAAAATGAAGAGTGTACTGGGTCAAATTAAAGGAAGAAGAGAGTAAACACTACTGCATACTTTGAAGACTCTTTTGCCTAAGGTGATGGTGAAATCTCTTGAGTTTCACAGTCTTTTTAAAAACTTTTTTGAGTTGAAATCTCACTCTGTCGCCCAGGCTGGAGTGCAGTGGCACAATCACGGCTCACCGCAGCCTCAAACTCTTGGGCTCAAGAGATCCTCCGGCTTCAGCCTTCCGAGTTGCACCACCACACCTGGCTAATTTTTTGATTTTTTTTTTTTTTGTAGAGACAAGGTCTTGCCATGTTGCCCAGGCTGGTCTCAAACACTTGGGTTCAAGAAGTCCTTCTGTCTTGGCCTCCCAAAGTGCTGGGATTACAGACGTGAGCCACCGCATCTGGCCACAAATAATCTCTTAAAGGTCAAAGTCTTTGTCTTATACATACAAGGTACTCGTCATTAAGCATGTGTTAAATAAATTCGATAATCAATAATGGATGAATGTGATAAATCATCAGTAAGCGAATGAGGTAAATCAAAATACAAGGCAGTATAAACACTAAAGTGAGTGAAACAAGCAGTGATTGCCAGAGGACTGAAGAGGACAGGTGTGTCAATTTGGACAAAAACATTTGGGGAAGGTCTAAGGTTCCAGCCCTTGGATTTGGGTCTGGAAACCCTCAGTGCCTTAGCCTACCATTGGGAACAAAGGGTCCGTAACAGGTCTAACATCCATCGTTCTCTTTATTGGGCATGCCCAGAAACACACACACAAACACACACACACACACACACACACACACACACACACACACACACACACACACACACACAATGCTGGCAACCAGACCTTCTGATAAACACACAAGCGTTCTTCCTAGCAGAAAATTAATGGCATCCTTATTCATGAGATGTTTTCAGAAGGATACTTCAAGTGAGTCTAGGATGACAACAAAACCTGTTATCTGTGGATTCAGGGGGCCATGGCGGGTTGGAGAATTAATGGAGTATGAATGAAGATGTTAAGGAAAATGGTTTCCTTTGTAAAATAATGTTCCACAAGCACTGCTCTCCCCCACACAAGCGGAGCGGGGAGAATGAGAGACCTTGGATTTTAAATCTGAATGAGAACAAATCCTGAGGCTGAAGAAAAAGAATCCCTATTAAGGGTCTCAGATTTCTCTGAGGGAAAGAGCTTTGCCGCTGACTTGCAATTGCTGATGCCCTGAAGCGTCTTTTATTTTTATTTTTAGAGACAGGGTCTTGCTCTGTCACCTAGGCTGGAGTGCAGTGGCATGACCAGAGCTTACTGCAGCCTCCAACTCCTGGGTTCAAGGCATCATCCCACCTCAGCCTCCCTAGGAGCTGAGAATACAAGCCTGCGCCGTCACACCCAGCTAATTTTTTAAAATATATATATTTTATTTTAAAGATATGGGGTACAACGCTAATTTTATCTTTTTTTTTTTAGAGATAGGGTCTCACTATGTTCCTGAGGCTGGTCTTGAACTCCTGACTTTGAGGCATCCTCCTGCTTCAACCTCCCAAAACACTGGGACTATAACTGTCCCCAGCTGCTGATAATTCTTTGAATTATCAGTGAAGGATTGTTGCTGGGTATGATCAATTACTCAAAAAAAAAATTGGCCAAACACAGAGGTTCATGCCTGTAATCTCAGTACTTTGGGAGGACAAGGTGGGAGAATTTCTTGAGCCCAGGAGTTCAAGACCATCCTGGCCAACACAGTGAGACCCCACCTCTATTTAAAAAAAAATTTTTTTTAAATGACCAATCATGGCCAGGCACAGTGGCTCACGTCTATAATCCCAGTACCCTGGGAGGCTGAAGTGAGAGGATTGCCTGAGTTCATGAGTTCGAGACTGGCCTGGGCAACTTGGTGAGACCTCATCTCTACAATAAATCAAAAAATCAGCCGGGCAGGGTGGCGCGTGCCTTTAGTTCCAGCTACTTGGAAGGCTGAGGTGGAAGGATCATCTGAGCCCAGCAGGTCGAGGCTGCGGTGGCCATGACCATGCCACTGCACTCCAGCCTGAGCAACAGAGGGAGACTCCAACTCAAAAAAAAAAAAATGACCAATCACTCCCACGAATCTGATGTGACAATCTGACACTTTGTGTATCTCTCTGGGTCACTCTGCCTCTCCTGTTTCTCTTCCATTATCGTGAATTAACTCATCTTTGTTCCTTACTAACATTGAGACTTCAATCTGATTATATAAATGTTCTGAGTCTTAGTTTCCTCATCTGTAAAATGGGTTTATATCCGGAGTGACTGTAGAATTAGATGGGGAAAGTGCATTGAGGCCTTACCCTTCCCTGCACTGGAGCAGACACTCTCTTCCCAGCTGGAACCAGCCGGGGTGGCAGGAGAGGCATTGCATGCTGTGACTTCCTTCACACGTTCTACAAGAGCTGTGGCAGGGGACACACCGGTGGCTGTCCTCATCGGCGTAGTAGCTCTCTGGGCAATCCTTCACACAGGTCGTGTCTGTCATGGGAAGAAAAGAATCTCTGAACATCAGGCATGACACATGTGGTCCAAACTCCCTCTCTGTTCTCCCTGCTGTGTGCCAGGACACTTGGCAGGGGCTGCAGCAGGAAGAGAACCATGTCCCTGCAGGTTGACATATATGCTTGGGAGCCATGACGAGTGGGAAAGAAACAGAACTGACCCAAGACCCTCAGGAGTCCAGAGAAAACAGAGGTCAGAGTGGACCAACTGTGATGGGTGAGAGAGAAACTGCAGTCTGGCTGTGTGGGTATTGACAGTGGCTCATTGTCCAGCAAATGTAATCGATTAACTAGGGGAAGGCCCTATCCCCTAAAGGAAAAACACCTCCCCAGAAGGAAAAACAACTAATAAGTGTCCCATTGCGGCCCCAACAAATTTCCAAGCACTTGGTGACCTGAAACAACACAACTGTGTTATCTTACTACTCCAGAGGTCGGGAGTCCACAGTGCCTTGTTTTTCCAGAGGCTTTAGGAGGCTGTCTCCTGACCTTTTCCCCCTTCTGGAGACCACCTGCTTTTCTTGGCTCGTGGCCCCATGCCTCCCAAGGCAGCAGCAAAGCATCTGTTCTCTCTGCCCTCCTGGTTTTGGTTACATCACCTTCCACCGCTGACTCTGTTCCCCTCGTGTCCCTCTTCTCGGACCCATCTTCAGGATAATCCACACTAATCTCCCCATGCCAACAGCCTTCATTAAACCACAGTTGAAAAGGCCCTTTTCCAGCCGGGTTCAGTGGCTCAGCCTGTAATCCCGCGCTTTGGGAGGCTGAGGTGAGTGGATTGTCTGAGCCCACGGGTTCGAGACTCGCCTGGGCAACTTGGCGAGACCTCATCTCTACAATAAATCAAAAAATCAGCCGGGTATAGTACCGCGTGCCTATAATTCCGGCTACTCGGAAGGCTGAGGCGGAAGGATCGCCAGAGCCCAGTGGGTTGAGGCTGCAGTGGCTGGGAGCAGCTACTGCACTCCAGTCTGGGTGACAGAGTGAGACTCCGACTCAAAAAAAAAAAGAAAAAAAGAAAAGGCTCCTTTCCAAGGTCATATATTTACGGGAACCGGGTGTTAGGATGTGATACCTTCAGGGGGGCCATTTTTTAGTCTACCACAACCTCCAAAAAAATTATTTAGTTTGTTCATTTATTTGTTATCTATTTATTTGATTAGGGAGTCTCACTCTGTCACCCAGGCTGGAGTGCCACATGATCATGGCTCAGGTGATCTTCCTACATTGGCCCCCTGAATAGCTGGAATTACAGGTGGGCACCACCCCACCAGGCTAATTTTCTTTACTTTTTAGTACAGATGAGGTCTCCTTATGTTGCCCAGGCCTGTCCTCAAATTTCTGGCCACAAGCAATCCTCCCACCTCAGCCTCCCAAGGTTTTGGGATTACAGGCGTGAGTCACCACGCCCAGACTCAATATCATAAAAGACAGTCTGTGGAAACAGTCCAGATTAAAGAAGGCCAAAGAGACACAGAAGCTTCATGTGGGACCTGCCTCTAGACTGAACCCTGTTCTAAAGAGAAATTGATACAAATTTGATACAAATACTATATTAAAGTATTGTATTAATATAAACTTTACTGGGAGTGACAATGGTCCTGTGGTTATGTAAAAAAATATCCCTATGGCTGGCTTCCCTATGGTGGCTCATGCCTATAATCCCAGCACTTTGGGAGGCTGAGGCGAGAGGATTGCCTGAGCTCACGGGTTCGAGAACTGCCCGGGCAACTTGGCAAGATCCCATCTCTACAATAAATCAAAAAATTAGCTGGGCGTGGTGGTGCATGCCTATAGTTCCAGCTACTTGGAAG